GCAAAAAAAACTTCATAATAGTTTTTTTTTTGTGTTATCATTTATAACTTTATCAAAATGAAATCAGATTTTCAAATCTTTATTTATTTATTTATTTATTTTTGTTTAGCTAATGTTTTTATTCAATTAAAGTAACAAAATTTTAATTACTATAAATGACGTAAATCAGACTAGAAAAAGATGTTTATTGCCTGGTGTCGCTAATGAAAATGTTGTAAGAGTAATTTTTTTACGTTTATTTCAAAAGCAAATTTTCGTAAACATATAATTATTATAATGACACTATTTGCTGCTCTCTAATGACTATGAAAAAATGGTAAAACCAATTAAATGATACCAATTGAATGATCACTGTCATTATACAAATAAAGCGGTCTGAAGGAAGAAAAAAACAAATTTTTATTTTGACATGTTTAAAGTCAAAATTCAACCAACGGCAGGGAGAATGTATATGTAGCCGTTTCTTTATTTATATCTATAAACATATAAATTTAAGTGCAAATATAAATCTATATCTAAATATAAATATAAATAAAATAAATAAATAAATATATATATATATATATATATATATAGTATAGAAGCGATTTGATATGTAAGTCATACAAAATTTACTAAACTCTTTTTTATTTTGCAGATTCACCCAAATTCAGCACCATACAACAAATTTATTTTGTCACCGCTGATATGACTTAATGAACAGTCTGTAAGATCAATGTTTAGTAAACGGATATGTATACCCAACGAAATTTATTTAGCAAAATTAGCATTCACCTTAGAATGGACAATCAGATTTGGATGGGCGTATTGAACAGTGGATTACCAAAAGCTTTTTTTTTGGCAACGGAAGAATCGGAAAAAGCGAAGATACGCAAAATCGCAAAAGATAAAAAAATAAATCTTGCTTTAATAAACAATGAAAACTATTCTGTTGTTTGCCGCATTTTTTTCCAATGTGTTTGATCAATTGTGGAGGAGAAACTGGAAGTAAAAGAAAGGAAGCAAGGAACAGCTATGGTTTATGACAAAACTAACATTCAACTAAAACAACAGAAAACATTATGTTTTTCTTTTTCCAAACAATTTAACTCTGTTTTCCAAAAAAAAAAAAAAAAAAAAA